ATCTCCTCTTTAGGAGGATAAACGTTAAATCAACTTGTATTTGTGAACAATAACGCATGTAAACATTTTCTAGTAGAGCCCCAAAAACACCTTTTAAACCTGTAAATGTGCAGAATGTGGTTTGTTTAGATGTTAATGAGAGAATCCAAACTCGGGCCTCATGAATCGGTCTGACTCACCGACACTTTCGGACTGGGCCGGCCGCTCCTCCACCAGAACTGCAACAGAAACACAATCCAGTCATCAGCAACTCCTCATCACCAAGCTCAGGCTGTAATGAACAGAACCTTCAGCGCCTCACCTCCAGTGGTGTCGATGGTGATCGCGCCATCCTCTGGAAAAACAACAACAACACGAACACGTTAGCGTGAGGACGACAAACGTTGGGTGAAGCTGAGCAGGTTGTACTGACCGCGTGGGCGAGCGCTGTCCTGAGGATCATCTGCGACAAAAACACGGATAAGTCAACGTGATTCACTGGAACAACACAGTTCTACAGTCTGAAGCCCAGTTCACTGCTCCTCAGCATCAGCAGGACCCGATCGCCGTCACAGACACTTGTTTGGTTTTTGTGGCTGATGAACGGTGCCGTCCTTCCAGGGCTTCAGAGTGTTAACAAGACATGAAATGATCCAGACTACAACACGTCCAGATGTGGAGCTCTAAGCAGATTCAAACTGAGACGTAATCTGACGGAAAGTCAACATTTTGTAACCAGAACAACGGACGTGAACCTGGAAGTTGAGTGCGTCCAATGAGCTCCGAGAGTTCAACCGTTTCCTCAAAGTGTTGATCTGAGTTTTCCTAATCCACATGTCCAGTCTATAAACCCGCTATTGTTAGTCTGTCCATCCTCATCATCATCATCATCCTCATCCTCATCATCCTCATCCTCATCCTCATCCTCATCATCATCATGTGAAGCTAACTGAAACAGAGAAGGAGCAGCTGACCTGGTACGAAGCTGTCTTCCACCAGTGAAGGGAGAGGAACAGCAGCTGGGAAACACACAGTCACACCAGTTAAAACACATGCAGAGTGTAAACCAACCAGCTAATCAGTGCTGCAGCAGCTAAACAGGAAGTGACGAGGAGGAAGACGAGCAATAAACACAAACAAACAGACAGACAGACTTGTGGCTTGATGACTGGGGATGTCCAAGTCACTGAATGTTCAGGATCTGCAGCTACTGACTTCCAGTCCGGCAGCATTTCCCTACAGGAGCTCTAAGTGTTGCAGAGCAGCTGCAGTACCAGGATGCTCCACCAGGTGGAGCCTCCTGCTGTTACAGAGGAGGTGTAGCTCAGACTACAGTTCATGCTGGCAGCAGNACTGTGTAGTAGTACTATGTAGTGGTACTGAGCGGTACCTGGGCCTTCCCGTAGCGAGCTCGGGGGCTCTCTGGATACAGCTGCACCAGCGCCTCAAACGCCTTCAGCGCCTCCTCCAGCTTCCCCTGAAACAAGAGACGTTCAGGTTGATGAGCGTTACTGTTGCCGTGACGACAAACCAGCAGCAGCTTTATGAAAGACACGAGGACATGAACGTTACAGAACAAGAGGACCAGCTGGTTCCAACACCTTCTTGCGAAGCTTCTCTGCTGCATCAATTTCTGCTTTGATGGTTTTATCAAACTTATTCAGCAGTTTTGGTTTCTTCTTCTTGGCTGGAGGAGGAGACAGAGGGAAAGAAAGCAGAAGGTCAGACTGAAGAGCAGAGCAGGCGCTGTGCAGGAGTTCTGGTAAATCAGCCGGTACCTTTCTCCTTGAGCTTCTCTTCGGCCTGCTTCTCTGCTGCTGGACAGGAGATCAGGTCACATTAGAATCAGTAACGGTTTATTTTCATCACTTCGTTCTTCCCGTACTTTTGCATCGATATGTAAATGAGGTGGGCGGGCCTGAGATCAGTCTAAAGCCGGACGAGCTAACCGTGCTAGCTTTCTATTATATTTACCATAACTATATTCTAAACAAATAAAGAATATAAAAAGTGCATAAGTAAATATATAAATAAATACTGAATGAATGTAGAAACATATAAACAGGTAATGAATACGTGAATGAGTTAATTTAAGTTAAAACACACCAACGAATGAACCAAATTAATAAATGCAGAAGTGAGTGTATGAATAAATAATCCAGGAAATGAATAAAGAAATGAATAATTAAAAATAATAAATAAATAAGGTAAAAAATAATTAACTACCATGAGGAAATAAAATTATTAAAAATACAAACACTGAAATGCATAAATAAAGAGGTGAACAAATAAATAAAGAACAGGTAACAAAATAATATAAAACAATATAAAATAAAACAAAAAAAATATCATAAAATATAAAACAACTAATATAAGTATAATATAAAATATAAAATAATATAGAATAAAATAAAATAAGTTAAAATGTGGTTCGATCTCCTCAGACAGTTGGTTTGCGTCTAAATGTTCTGACCTTCAGGTTCTGGATCAGTTTCAGCCTCGCTGGGTTTCTCAGTGGGTGGTTCCGGTTCTGCTGCTGGTTCCGGCTGATTCTCTGGTTCTGACAGAACATCAAAGACACGACGTCAGCCCATAAATTAGAGTTCACACGTTTAATCTCAGAGACTTTTATTGTGTAAGTTTGTGAGTCCTTCCTTTAAACGTATTATTTAAATTTCTGTACATTGATCATTTTTTAATTTTTTTTGGTCAATTTTTTTGTCGTCATTTTTTCCTTTAATGTCAGAAAATATCTTGTTTTCTTCTCACTAATTTGTGAGATTTTAATTTGTTGTGATTATTGTTGTGAATAAACTGTTTTATTTTCTTGTAAAGTGAAGACGTTCATCTCTCAGAACGTCGTCCTTCTGCCTTCATCACATTCGTTTCAGTTTTTTATGATAATTTTAGTGAACGACTGGATGCAGAAGAAAAAAAACACAAACCACAGGAACAGGAAACATCCTTCAGCTCAAAGGGGAAAGAGGAAATATTAGAGTTACACAAACAAGGCAACACTTTGCTGGAGTGACTTCACATCAACCACATCTGATA